AAAAAATGTCCTCTGTACTTTCCTTGTGACAATTTTTTCTTATTTAAATGGCTTTACTCGAACTAGTATCGCCACTAAATCAATTTGTCACAAGCTAGATAAAAACAGGAAGAACGTTTCGGTGGCAATTTGGTGCAAAAAGATTGGAAATAGCGATTTTCCCAGAAGGAAATCCTTCGAAGTTGTTTTTGTTGTGTGTCCCCCTGCCGGGGCATTGTTGCTGTTTTCGAGTGGGTCAGTTGTCCGTCGGCTCTCATAGGGCCAATGTAAACTCTTTTCATATTGTCCACATCTTCGCTCGTTTCCACTTGCTATGGCTACCATAACAGGAAGAAAATTTCTCATGTAAAGTGTTTTTCAACGCTTTAATTGATCTGCTGCATGCTTCCGTCAAAAAATCGCTATTTCTATTTTTCCCACACTTCCATTGTCAATTGGAACAGATTTTTTGAGAAGGGCACTGTGACCGACAAAAAATCTCCCACCATTTTTTCACATTCTATCGCCTCTCTGAGATTAACTGTCCTTGAAGTATTGAGGTCAACGACGGCCGTTACAACTTCTAAAATCTCATTTATGGCAAAGTATAGCTGCACTATTTTCTCAAAAAAAAAGACTTTCTTTCGCTTCGTGACAGGAGTTGAGTTCGTTCTGCCTGAACTAGATGATCTGAGGTCAGCGAGTGCAAACGGCTAAGTTCCTAAAAAAGACTTCGGATCTTTTGCAACGGAAATGCTTACCCTAATTTTTTTTTTATCAAAATTCGGGAAAAACGTAGTGGTTAGATTTGTTTCATTGTTCTTGTTTCATTGTTTGTGGATATAGAAACTGTAAAACTCCCCAAAATTCTATATATCTACAAAAATCATTTCGCCTGAGAGCAATAGTATTTTTCTCAAATGTCCAGTTCTCCTTTCCACTAACAAGGCATAAGATGTTCTGATGAATGTTAGAATACACTCAATGAAAACAGCAGCTCTGGTCGGCAATTTTCTAAGACCAAAAAGTTCCGAAAGAGTTTTGATAGCTTGACAAAACAAATGTCGAAATCTTATGTGAAGCAAGGTGCTCTATCAAGTAGAACTAGAAAGCAGCAGAAGTCTAATTTTGATTTATTTCGAAAAAGAAAGAGGAGAGGAGTATAATTAGGATGATTCACTGGCTAGAAAACGCAGATCCTGCCTTTGTTCCCAAAATGCCTTTCAAAAAGCAGGATAATTGATGGCAGAACGGAACTGTTCCGTGACGATATTTAAGTTTTGGTCATGGCATCATGCTAAATTGATTTCTTCGAATCGGATCTATTGTGCGATTCTAATATTATATATTAGGTCGGTCCTAATTTTCTGTCGTTTCACTTTGAAAATTTTTTTTAACTTTGCGCTAACTCAACAAATTTGCTTGCTTATAAGTTTATTAGAAAAGATATGTCCTTCGCTTTGGAATCCTCTCTTGCAAAACTTTGGTTTCACACTGATTGCAGAATTAAAAATGGGAATGGAAGATCATATAGGCTTTGATCATTTCAAGTTAGGTCAAAAATCTGGAACGTTGCAAAAAAACTGAGATCATCGTAAGTCTTTTGACCTACTCGTTTTAAGCTTCACAGTTTGTACTGTTTGGACGTTTCTATGAGAAATTGTGATTTTCGAGAAAAGTAACAATTCAAATAATTTTAGGGTTTTCTGTAGTTAATTCGAAATTCGAAAATTTTCACAGAAACTTTCAAACAGCACAGACTTTTCACAGTTGCGAAGAGTAGGTCATCAAATTTATGTACTGGCGATTTGAATTTTTCTGCAGCGTTCCAGATTTTTGGCAGCCTAACTTATAATGATCAAACCCTGAATGATTTTCTTCATCTAATTTGATTTCTGCAGCGGTGTTCGGGAGAAACTCGATAAGATTGTTCTACAGAGCAGAATGCTTCCTCTTTCTAATAAAACTACAGCACAGCAAATCTGTTTAGATAGCGAGAAGTTATGATTTTTTGAAAATTAAACGACAAAATTTTCGGACCGACCTAATATTATTCTAGAGCTTGTGTTAGTAAATTTTTTTGAGACGTCAAAAAATATCCACTTTTATTTATTTCAAACGACTTGTTTTTTCCCATCTATTCCTGTTGGTTAGCTCGTCATCAGGTAAAAAGTCATTATAATAGCGTCTACATTGCTATACATCCTCCTCCCATTCTGTCGTTTGGCGTAGTATAACATGCATACAGTCCACCACAGCTTTTTGCTAATTTGTGCAACTACACTATTTTCAAAGTCGACAATGGAACTCTTCCCCTCAAAAAGGAGTGCTGTTTTATTGCCCAGCTTCCTCAAACCTAATGACCAAGTTACAAGAAAACCAAGAGAGTAGGAAAAAACTTATCCCGTTAGCTTCATTCGGAAAGTTGTGCATTTGCACAACTAGCAGGGAAAGGTACTCTATCATGATTTCTGACTGACACAAATAACAGCTAACGCAAGGCGCCATTTCTCTGTTACATCTAGTAGAAACCATGTACTTTTGAGAAAAAAGTGCCATTAATGGATGAAGCAACGAAAGATTACAGGCTTTGAGGAAAAAACCTAAATGGTCAATCGCAGCGCGGCACATTACATCTCATGCGAGACACATAAAATTGATGGGTCTAGGCAAAATCTGCCCCAAAAAACTTATCTTGCCATAAATGTTAGCCAATGCCATTTGCAGATGCAATTTCACTCTCATCTAAGCCGCTCGATCCTGTTTCATCGCCACGCAAAAACCGCGCAACTGGTCCAGCTCGTTACCTTGTCCATCTGCCCTCGTACAACGAGCCATATTACTCGGATTACACGAGCACAAGTGGATCATTACATCTTCCTGATTGTCATGAAGTCTTTTTATATGACAAGTGTATGTGCGTGTATGCCAGAGCGGGTTTTTGGCACCACCGTGGGTATTTTGGTCAGCTGGCGGTGTATGCAACGGTGAATAAGCCTGGCTAAGCTGATCAGCTGTTGTTTGCGTAAAAATGCAATTATTATTACCTAATGTATGGGACCTTACCAGCTGGCTTTTTCTATGGTTTTCCAAGCCTACTGTCAAAAAATGTGTTTGGCATTTGCGAAAGTTCGGACTGTTTTGTGCGAAACTCCCCGCAGAACTCTATACATCTTTCTGAGCTCCAAATTTTACGATTATTTGAATAAATCCACACAATTTTGAAAAGCCTAGCTTAGAAGAGCTCTCCTTTTTTCTACAACGCTGTTCTAAAGAGAGCTAAAAGATCTTACAATTCTTTAGACACACCGCGATGGTGGACATGTGACTTTTTTCTGACAATGAAGAGTAACCTTCTTTCCATCCTTTTTTTGTCAAATGTGGCCTAATTTTTACTACTAAGGAAGAGGATATCTGCATTCTGATTTCTGATAATATTAAAAACTTTTGCAGATGTTCAACCCAAACTTTCGCTTACTTTCCGTGCAACTTCACTGGGTACACTCAACTTTCAATACTTTTTTGATGGATTTCGTGTCCAGTGATAAGACTTCCTTTTAATTTATATTCAAATTATAAGAGCCTACAGTGACAAAAACTTTGAAGTTTAATCTAAAGTTTACTCAATTGCATATTTTTCGCAAAACTTCCAAAGGACTTCACTGATAGGAACCATCCCTTGCTCTCTTTTTTGATACTTGTTCCAAATAATTGCAGAATTTTTATTTCTACCTCAAAAGCCTGAGATTAATAAAAACTTTTACAATTCCTTAAATGCTCGCATAAATTTCGCGGAAGTTCCGAAAGTGTCGTTCCACAATAAACGTCCGAAACGCTTAACTCTTTGACACAAAATGTCCATACGTTCAGTTCCTTGTTTCGAACTTTGGGTATGAAAAATAAAAATCAGATCTTCAAATATTGCCTGAAGTTTGCCATTCCATTATCAATATCATGCTCTAGACATGGAGGAGCTTGCGTCGTTTATCTTGTTTTCACTGGCTTTGCAGCCATCAAACTCAAACAATGTCCCATATTTTACAACTGTGACGGTTTTGGTAGTTTTGTGAGAGTATCATCACGCAAAATCAAGTAAAACTCTGGACTTTGTGTGTGGTCTACTATTTTCATACATGGCTTGACTGACATACTCTTGTGGTCACAGTAGTTTTGCACCAGTTACGTGCGTCCCATGAACTCACCTAATCTTCTAATTCTCTAAAGTTTCACTAACTATTACTGAAATTCTAATTTATAGTTTGCCATAACTCGTCCAGCATTTCCAATATGTCCTTGGGTGTTTTTTGAGCTGTTAACCAATGGGGCGCATGGTTAGCCGCGCTGGAACGATGACGGGAGTTTCGGTTGCGATGAGCTTGGGGCGGGGAAGGGGGCTGCGGAAGCCAGTCGTGACGCAACGCGCCATCCGTTGCGCCCGGCTTTCACGCTCCGTCTCAGAGCGGGGGGAGGGGGGGGGGCTTCCTGGATGTGATAACCATGGCTTTTTAGTAGAGCTAATACTTCCCCACCTGCTATTCTTCCAGGGAGCGGGAGGAGGAGTCCTAAGCGGAAGGCGGTAAGGGTCATCTACCTCCCAGGGCGAGTTTGAGTTTGTTCAGTGTGGATGTTGCGCCCCATGTAGGTAGGTCAAAGGTCATGGAAGCCCCTCTGAATGCGTTCGTAAACAAATACTTAGCCTCGAAAAATAGCGCGACTTGCTCTATTTTTGTATATCGCAGTTCCCAAAGCCACATTTGGCCTCATTGCAAATCGGGCTAAGTGTACTCTCCTCTATTTTCGTTTACGCCCTAGCCTTTTGCGAACATTTAGGGCTATGACACCCGCCCGCATTTCACAACCACCACGGAAGCCTTGAACGATTCCGGTTCCGCCCATCTCTTTAATCCCTTCATAGAATTTCCGCTCTCTATGCTTGATCTCGTTGCCGTTTGTGTTGCGTGTGCTTCTCCCACGTACTCAAGGCTGTGCCCTTAACCTCTAAATAAAGTCTGACTTCCAGAATGTTGGGTTGGATCGCAGCAGCAGTGCTCATTCTGCCGATGGTCGACGCGCAAGTGGTCAACGTGACCATTTTCACCGAATCACAATGTCCGTACTGCACCCGATTATTACGCGAACAAATCTGGCCGTTTTATGTGAATCGACCGGGGATTATGAATTTGCAGGTCAATCTCAGTCCATTATATGACTTTCAACTACATATTTTGATTTCGTGCTCTTAATCCAGCGAAAGTATAATAATTTTACCACATACCATTTTACCAGTCTGGACCTATTGAGAATTCAAAAAATTGTCGTGAATTATTATAGAAATTATTATCAAAATAGGTGTTGATTGCCATATTGTAGAATCGGTTGAAGAAAATTTGTCCATTTACCACAAATTTTAGCAATTGATAGCTTAAATTGTGCAAATTTTGCAAACTCTTTTTCTAAAATTTTCCCTGGTTGTGCTGCAAGTGCCCACTACATTACATATGCAAAAAAAGTATAGTAAAAATCTTTCGAGGATTAGATAAGAAAAGGATGGGGGTGGGCATAGATGAGAGAAGAGCAGTAGATCAGTTTATTATGATTTTTATACGACAAATTCGCACTACAACTGTTCCAATCGCTTACTCTAGACCAAAACTGATGTTGTCTACTCGGCCTTTTGTCCCCCAATTTTTTTGTGCAGAGGCCGGTGGTCAGTTGGATTCGGACAAAATTATGGGACCCCTTGTAGGAAAGTGGCTCAAACGATAAGCAGCATTTCTGGTCACACATAGCTAGCTAGCCTTTTTTTGTTGTGAAAATGACCATAGTAGGCGATCGTTGGCGGCTATAATGCAATGCTTAATTTGCAAAAAAAATCCTGTAGGTGATGTTTTTTTTGAAGTATTTCATTTTAGTTTACTTATTTAGTCGATATGCTTTCTCATTATTTCAGTCATTGTTTTCATTAGTTTTTGAGGAAACTATTCTACTATACTATAGGACTAGCCCATACTCCAAGAACCACGCTAATCTTCTTCTTCAACCGGTCACTGAACTGGTTATCATAGGAAAAAGATACTTCATGCACCATTATGTTGCTCGTATAGTCGTTTAGTATGTTTCCTCTCCTCAGATGCCCCTCAACTGGACCTTCATATAGAGGCTAAGCTGCTTTATAGTCATTAATTGTTTTTATACAGTTGCGCAGGCCATTTTCAGAGAAAGATTTAGGGTTTTGATGCGCAAGATTAAAGGCCTCAAGAAGTTAAATAGAAAACCATTTTTCCGAAGCATTTGTTGTGACAGGAGGGAGTTAAAGTTAGTTCGCGACAAATCCTACCAAACTGGCTTAAATTTGCAAAAAAATTAAGAGTGGTTCATCATAATTCATTTTATGTTCTAATTTCACTGCAAGAATAATTCCAGCAGTACTTTTTTAAATCTTTCAGAATGCAATTTTTGTTTGATTTTTTGTTCTTTGCAAGTACAACAAAGTTGATTTATTATTATGAAAGTGCAGGTTTTTTGAGCTTCATCGTCAAGCAAAAAGAAGGATTTTGATTGTGAAGTCTAAAAAATTCAAAACTGTTTTTATTGAAGGTCAAATCGCTATAGGTTATTTTTTTTTTTGATGTTTTGTTATCATTACTCAGCTTTCTACCATCATTAGGATCATTCTCAATTCTGTAAATAATTGGTGTTTTTTCACTTCGTGTTTTAACGATTATTCGCGCATTACTGATGCACCCACGTAATCCATTACATTCCTTTTAAAGAGCCGGAAAAATATGAATTGCACACTTTCTCAAGTGCGAAAAGCTTTACTTTGAACAAACGCTCCGCTCACGTTCCAGATTATTTTCTGAGCAAACTTTTATCTCTGTCTGTATTGTACTCTTGTCATACAGAACAAGTACTCAAGTTTATTGCACTTATGCAATCTTCTCTCGACAACGAGACAATGTTTGGCTGTGTGACTGTCGAAGATAGTAAAAGAGAATGGCTATTACGTGGAGGTATCAAAAAGAGTATGAGTAATCAAAACAATTCAACACTGCGCTTAACAACAAAGAAAAATTTAGAGAAAGCAACTGAAAAAATCTTTTCCACTCCCTTGACGACACTGACTTGGGAATTGTGCATGTGCACCTATTAGCAAAGAAAGTTAAACGGCTCTTAATTTCATTTATAATTAGTCTAGATAGAAAGGACCTACTAATCCTGATAACATCAAGAGCCCCTGTATGCACGAAAGTAATTAGCTCTTATGTTGCTTTTTCTGCCTGACCTTATAAAAACTAGGAAAATTGACCCATTGACTAGCTAAAGTTTTCGTCTTTTCTCGTTGAAGAAAGAGGAGAAGATGAGGGGGGGGGGGGGTAGAGATTAAGTTTAGCAGAAATATACAACCTATAAAATGTCTGCAAAGTTACTATAAGTGCCATTGCACACGCTGCACACATTGCGCGTCCCTATCTTGCCTGGAACGCAGTCTTTTCTGCGTCTTTTTCCTAGGTTCTGTTTTTACTAGATATAGAGGTCCATCACACAGAGCTAGGATTTCCTATGGCACATGCAAAAAAATTTCAAGTGAAGAGCAATGTGTACAGCGTGCAAATGCACATATTAGGTATGATCCCATCGGATTGGCTGTTTTATTTGAATCTCGACCTCCTTTTCCATTTGGGGAGAGTGGAAAATCTCTTCAACTCCAATAGAATTTTTTTTCAGTTCAAGGCCATAAGAGCAAGTCATTTTTTGCATATTTTTGGCTTTGATTGCCTTTTCGAATTTACCCTCTCACTCGAGTAAGTGCTCCAGTTCTTCCAGTATACTAGTTCTGTGTCTTGGGAAATCTCGTAAATTACCAAAGTATCGGCTTTTTTCGCTACTCTCGCTGCAGCTAGCGAATTTACGGCTAAATTGCTCGGACGAAAGCACTCTCCGCCCTGTTTTTGTCCAGTTATTTGACCTTCGAGCAGTGAGTGAGGGCGGTAGGGCGCCGGCTAGCGGAACGTTGACGCTTTGCGTGAGTATAAGCGATGGGATCCCGTTCTGGGTGGCGTACGAGTAACAGCCATATAACGTGGACACTGATCATCGATGGCTACCAGAAAGCCTGTTCGTAATGTGGAGATGGATAGGAAGAAGGTGGGCAGTCATCCTGTCAAGTTACCAGATCTTTCCTGGTGATGAGTGAAAGATATGTTGGCAGGAAGCGCTTTATGGCTTTTCTTTGAAATCAAAACTTCTTTGAAATGAGCAATACTAGTATTTTTGCTCACTTCGGTTGCTACAATTCGAAAGGGCTTGACGGGCCGAGGCAAAATTCAGTCCTTTTACCTTGTTGGTGGTACTTGAAACACTTTATAAATAAATAATATAACCAAAAATGATAAGAAACAAATTTTTTTTACTCATCCTGTTGCCTAGATGTTGTATTTTCAGTCATTCTGGATTTACATTAGCTGTATTGCTAGTGAATGTCGACCTTCTTTTCAAAGTAGAAAAGTGCACATCGATGTAAATTTTTGTCACCTTGACCAATCTCGCTATATGCTACTGGTACAAGGTGAAATTCTTGTAACTCTTTCCTTTTACCTGCACAATGTCTCGTTGCCTCACATGATCTTTGGACGAAAGAACATTGAGAGTGAATCTTGAGCTTATCTGGTTTCACGAATCTCTAGGTGTCACTATCTCAATCCAAGATTTTTGTTGAGCAACCCTTACTTCCCCGCCTTTTCCCTGCAAGTGGGCTTCTTCAAGTTCAGTGCAACATAAGCTGAAAAAAGTTGGGTCACAATATGTTATATGAATGATTCGAATATCAGATTTTCACTAAGTACGAAAAACTCGTTATAGGCAGAATTTTTTTCACCCTTTTGACTCTTGTGATACGATCTCATGTCGGAATTTGGCAGTATAGTATATAGTATTTGATGAGGATAATATTAGGTTGCTGCAAAAGTTCTGTCGTTTCATTTCAAAAATTTGCAACTTCGCGAGATTTCAACGGATTTGCTTGCTTGTAATTTCATTAAAAAAATAAGTCTTTCGCTTCAAATGCTGTTCCGTGTAGCTTCTGTTTCATACAGGGTGAGGAGATAAAAATGGGAAACTAAGACCATATAAGCTTTGACCATTTTAAGTTAGGTCACCAAAAATCTGGAATGCTGCAGAAAAATCTGAAACCGTCAGCACATATGTTTTTTGACCTGCCCTTTGCATCTGTGAAAAAATTGTGCTGTTTGGACGGCTCTGTGAGAAGTTATGATTTTCGCGAAAATTGACAAATTCATTAATTTTGGCGTTTTCCATAGTAAACTCGATATTCATAACTTCTCACAGAGCCGTCCAAACAGCACAATTTTTTTACAGATGCAAAGGGCAGGTCAAAAAACATATGTGCAGACGGTTTCAGATTTTTTTTGCAGCATTCCAGATTTTTGGTGACCTAACTTAAAATGGTCAAAGCTTATATGGTCTTAGTTTTCTATTTTTATCTCTGCATTCAGTGTGAAACAAAAGCTCCCCAAAACAGCGATCGGAAGCGGAAGACCTAGTCTTTCTAATAAGATTACAAGCAAGCAAATCCGTTGAAATCTCGCGAAGTTACAAATTTTTGAAAATGAAACGACAGAACTTTTGCACCAATCTAATATAATTTTATATTCTTCTTCCAATCCTTTTTCGTCCTGAAAACTCTATTTGATTTTTTGTAATTGCAATCAACCGCAAGTACCTTTTAAAGCGGCTGATGTAAAGTGATCTGCGTTTTTGAAAAGGTTTCAAGAAACAAAATAGCTAGAAGCTATTTCTGTTACATTTTTCTGCTGCTTCGCTCTTTTTCGGTTTTCTAAAAAGGGAATGGCCAGAAATGGAACTGGCCAAATCAAGCAAACTACATGCTATTAGATGCAGCATAAAACGCTGACTCTAAATCTGTCTTTCTTATCTGCAGACCACTTTTGTGCATGAAATTATAAGCCGTTAAAGGCCATTATTTCGCTAAGAAATTGTGCGTGTTAAGTGCAGACTTGGCCATAAAGCCATTCTCGGCTCAGTGTTTGGACCAAAGCATGCAACTAGGTCACTTCAAATGGCCCATATATGAAGATGAGCTAAAAGAGCAATAATGTGCCTAATTTCGCAGTTTATGTGTACTATTTCTTGGCAATAAAGCTGCTCATAACTTCGCCTACAAAGACGGTCTGCAGATACGGAAGGCAGATTTGAAATCAGCATTCTATGCTGCATTGAATGGTGTGCAGCTTGTTTGGATCGATTATTTCGACTTCTGACCATTCCTTTGTAAGACTTCTCTCAAAGCGGTTATTTGGCAAATACAACTAGTATGTCCATGTGGAACTACAATGATTCAATGTTCACAAAATGCTTAAAGGGAGAAGACAGCGAAATTCCATTGCAATCCGTAACGATTTTTTCGAGCTAGTAACGCATTATTAGGTGTGACTTCGGTTTGGTTCGAAAATGTACTTTTAAACCGGTACTTAAACATCGCCGAATTTATTTTGGCATCTATTTGTGGAAGTTTCGGCGTTTGTGAAAGGGAAGTGAGAAACAGACTGAAACTAAATTACCTTGCAAAGTGTGGAATCTTAAAAGAAAAAACCTGCTTTCAGTTTCAAAACCTTCAAAAAATTTTCTAGAAACTGGAACAAAATAAAGATGTGATACCAGTGGTTTATGAGTACATTCAACTAGAATTAGGCAACTGGATTCTCGAGAGAGTAGAATGTTTAGGCATTTTGCGCGTTAGAAGTGCAAAGCAAATTTTATTCCAGATTATTCCTTTTGGAAAAGGAGACTGTGACTACGATTACAATCGTAACTTCCATTGTAAATGCATGCACGGGCCAACGGAATGTGATCTGAATCGACTACAAAATTGTGCAATATCTGTGAGTTACTTGAAATTTCTTCTACACCGGATAACCCCTGTCTGTTCCTTTCAGTACTTTCCACGACGGCATCTTGGTCTCATCACTTGCATTCAAGGTCTAAGCACTCTTCGTGAAGCTTTCAGTCGTTGTCTCAGTCGATTGTCCGTTAGGACGCAGAGGTGGAAAGGCCTTCATGAAAAAAAGAGTTCTTTCTGATTAGGGTCTGGCACGGGGGTGGGTAAATGGACACCTAAAAACGCCTTTTCTGCCCTATTCCACTTGGTGCCGCTGGGTCGTTCAACTGGACCAAGGTTTCCTCCTTGAGGAAATCGCATTCGTTGCTATTTTGGGTTCTAGCAAAAAGGAGCGGAAGGGTTTTGAAGCTAAAATGTTATTAGTAATCTAGGGTGGTAATATTATAGTAATTCAGGTGCAGGACAGATTTTTGCACAAATCATTAGAAAATTATGTGAATTGAAAGTTTCGTCACTTTCATGGTGGCAACTGTCTCCTCAATTGGAAAAAAATGGCACGCTCTTCATTCACATAAGCTTTTCATAAAGTTTCAGCTTTACTCTTACTTTCCAATGCGCATATCTTATATATAAAGCTGAATGTCTGTTTGTCTGTCTGTATGTCTGTATGTCTGTATGTGTGTACGTATGTTCCGAATAGAAAATTCCATTTCTGAACCGATCAGGACCAAACTTGGCACACATACACTTCGAGCCCCGGCGGGTGTCATAGGCTACTTTTCGTCATCGATCGACATCGATTTTATCGATTTTTTGCAAAATATGAGCTACGGGGCTGGGAGTTGGCACAGGGGGGTAATCGAGCATGCTGATCACCCCCGTGGGGGTGATCAGCATGCTCGATTACACCCCCTGCCAAATTCCAGCCCCCTAGCTCAAATTTTGCAAAAAATCGATAAAATCGACATCGATCGATAACAAAAAGTAGCCTATGACACCCGCCGGGGCCCGTAGTGTATGTGTGCCAAGTTTGGTCCGGATCGGTTAAGAAATGGAATTTTCTATTCGGAACGTACGGCGGAGCCGGGTAAGCCAGCTAGTATACACTAAATTTGGCGCCACATCATTGCCTAAGCGTTACGAGTCACTCTTCCATTTTTCGGCAATGGAAATTAGAAAAATGCTTCCCACGGTCTCTGATCATATAATTTTCCCTGAAAGTTCGTAACTGTTCCTACAGGTTTTTTCCTATATATACACATCCAAATTGGTGCTATATCGTTACTTGTGCTTTGTAAATGAACCAAATTCACTTCTTTGTCCGTAATGGGTAATTTTTTTGAATGAAAGCATGGCACACCATTTATTCAAATAAGTTTTCTTGGTTTGGAATCTTGTTTCCACTAGCCTGTATCCGTCTACACCACATTTGTCAGATTGTTGCCCGTGGGCTGTCGAAGGTGAAATTTTCCCGCTCTAAGCAACGGTATTCTAGGAAAAACCTTGCCACATCCTTCAATGAAGTAATTTGTTCACACTGATCATAGTTCGTTTCATCTAGTCCTTGTCTGCTTCAACACCAAATTTGGTGCACACCAAATTATTGTTCAAACTTTGTAAATAAACCAATTGTTTTCCGATCATTACAGATAAACCTAATTTTGAAATCCGCGGCTTATGAGCAGTGTAGTAACTTGTTCTTCATGTAACTAAAGTGTTGAGTGGGTGCCTTTGTTCTTCTTAGGTGTAGATACGTTCCTTTGCTTATTTTCCACAAAACGACTTTCAGCCTCCACTGCTTCCATCTGCCACTCTTGTGCCTGGCCCTGTTTTTAAGTAACTACGGTATATTCTTATTTCAGAAAACTTATTGAATGCGCTACAACTCAAACGGGTGAATTGTTAAATTACTACTCGATGGTCAATACTCACCGAGCCGGAGTTAGGGTAAGCCACTGATTTTTAGGTTTTGGCTCCATTGGCATTAACTTTCTTTCCTAGATTTGGCCAACAATGTATGTAAATGGAATTTTCTTTGACCGAAGCTATCCAGTAGAGAACAAGCTCTGTGAGCAGACTGCTTGGTGCTGATTTCGAGAGTCTTGCAAATTGTAGACCCATTTCACTTTGGAATGCCTGTCCATATCACTGCTCGTCGTTAGGAACCTAGTTTTGTCCATTTTTGTACAACTCGGACCATGCTGCCGTGTCTTCCTTCACCCCGTATCTCTCTACCCCCCCCCCCCCTTACTGGTGAAGATGCTACTGCTGCTGTTCTACCATCCCTCACTGTTGTAAATAATATGATACTCGTTGAGTTATTTCACCTTACAGGTGTAGTTTATTCTTGCTAAGTATATTTATTACATTTTCATTCGACTTTTCATTTTTCATTGTGCTTGCTCAGTGTTTCCGACCTGATGGTCACAAATAAACATTCATAGAAGATTATCCTGTCGTTTCTGCAACTTTTCCTATGCTTCTTTACTTCTCCTTGATCGCTTTCGTTGAAGTATATTATATAAAATCGCTCCGCAAGTGAAGTATTCTGAGAACAATAACAGTATCGCACTTGTAGTGAATTAGAAGCTATGTCTCCAGCAAAATTGGCGTGATCCACATCATTTTCCAGTTTCTTCCAGTGCAGTTTACACGTTTTTGAGTTTCATGTGCCGATATGTACCGAAATATGTCAGATTAGTAAAAGAAACTGTCTTTGGAGACATCGTTGCACAAATTTTCGACTCCCATGTTTTTATCGTTCCGAGCCTTCTCATGTCTCCGATTCTGAATATGAAGTCGAGCGAAAAAGCCGACGATCCCCTTTCCGGAGAACCCATGGAGCTAGTCTCCGAACGGATATTGGATGGGCGAGCACGAATGGGTGGGCATTAGTGAGGGGGAGGGCGGGCAGGCAATGGATCAGCAGAATGGATCCTTCTCGGATTTCGGTGGATTTAGGTAGTAGACCCCCCCCCCTCAAGTACACTGAAGTCCAAACCCCACCTGCCAATTCATGCGCTAAGTCCTGAAAATGCGCTTTGAGACTCCACCAGCCCCGCCCGCTCGATGGAAAGGGGCGGGGCTGGTGAAGTTTCAAAGCGCATTTTTCAGGACTTAGCACACGAATTGGCAGGTGGGGTTTGGACTACAGTGTACTTGGGGGGTCTACTACCTAAATCCACCGAAATCCGAGAAGGGTCCATTCTGCTAATTTACTGCCTTTGAGGGCAGTGTCCCGGCAGATTTTGTACCTCCACCTTTTTGCATGCTTTAGGCCTTCTCGCCACGTAGAATCCGAATTTGAGCTTTGAACGGGCTGAAAAGGCCGATTTTGGGGCGTTTTCCTAATTCCAGAAAAGCAGCTTGGACGAGATTTTTGATGGAAAGTTGGGGGAGGTCCTCAGACGAAGATCGTGCCACCTGTAATTCTTGCTTTGGGTTGTTTCAGACTGCCGCACTGACTGCAGCAGACTGCAGCAGACTGCAGCTGACTGCACTGACTGCAGCAGACTGCAGCAGACTGCAGCAGACTGCAGCAGACTGCAGCAGACTGCAGCAGACTGCAGCAGACTGCAGCTGACTGCAGCTGACCGCACTGAACGCACCGGTCGCAGCCTCTTTTCTTGAAAGAAAAAACAACCGCGATTTTCAAAACAGCGTGATTTGCTCATAATAAGATCATAAGTTCCATCAGAATTTTTCTCAATCAAATTTTGGCGATAGTTTTCTTTGGTATGTTCGTATTTGTTCTAATTCTTCCTATCATTGCATATACCTGTTTTGTAACATTTTAAACCTTGTTGTCTTTTGCTTTTACGTATATATTGTTGTTGTTTGTTTAAAGCACAACTATTCATCCTCTCCGCCTGCAGGCTTCAGCCGCTGCGGTCGTTGCGGTCAGCTGCAGTCTGCTGCAGTCTGCTGCAGTCAGTGCAGTCAGCTGCAGTCTGCTGCAGTCTGCTGCAGTCAGTGCAATCAGCTGCAGTCTGCTGCGGTCAGTGCAGACTGCTGCAGTCAGTGCGGCAGTATGAAACAACCCTTTGGATAGCATGCATCATGGGGGAGAGCGCTCGTGGGGTCCCGCGCCGAACAGGCGAGGAAGGCCGTCCAAGCGCGCGCCGGTTCGGGGGCCATTTTCTCGGCCCAGGGGGAACATCACCCAGCCGGAGTGCGCCTGGAGGTCGATGGGGTGACCAGGAACCCCACCACACGTATATCCCCCAAAACCCGAATCTGCCGGGACACTGCCTTTAAGGCCTCGATCAGAGTTTACGCGATTTCATCCCTGAGATTCTCCCAGCAAGAGAAACAGTTACGAGTGTATTGCATGCCAATCACTTTGCATTTCTGTTGTGATAATTCCAACACGACCAATCGTGACTGACTAACTATCACAACCGAAATGCAGGTTTTCCAGCCAAATTCGTTATTTTGCAGTAGTTCTAGCTTCAATTTTAATTGCAGCCAATTATTGTTTCTGCATGCCTAGTTTTTGTCATCGATGTGCATAGCTCCGCTTCAAAGTTGTAAAAATTTGAAAAAGAAAGTTGAAAGTTGTACCCCCCTACCTCTCACTCAGTTGCCCGCAACAGTGACACTGCGCGCTACCAGGGTTGAGCGTGGGGTCAGGCGCGCCCGACCTGGGGGGGGGGTCGTGTTGAGGGTAAGACTGAGGGAGGGGGGGGTCGTAATTAAGAATCGAATTTATTAAGTTGGGGAGATACTGTGAAGGTGAAGAAGAAATGCGCTAGTCCGGTGGACATCGCGATCATATGAAGGAATGACGGCAGCATACTGATTGTTTCCACAATGGATTTCAGCAAAATTCAAATCTTCTTCTCTTTTACCTTGACATATGAGGTCGATAAGGAAGCTTGCTGTGTGAAATGGGTATCATTTCCATAATCAGCATGTCAAATTACCTCTAGGCGCTCTACAGGCATTACCTACTGCAGTTTCTAGTGTTTCTCAACGCCTAAAACGCGTAATTTTCAAACGTCAACTTGGTTTCAAAAGTGGGAAAAGTGAGCTTTTGCATACTCATAACAAAGTAATATTCTCTACAAGTCTATGCTTCAAACCGGACTTCATATCGCTTTCAAACAGTGGAGTAAGAAGTGCTGCCAAAATTCTAACCGGCGCGTTTTTCACGATGAGTGCTTCAACTTCTCGGATTAGCACAAGGCCGAAACAGAATCAAGCTCAAACACATAATGTGGAATCTTCGAGGTTGAGCTAGCGAATCACATAAAACTTGGGTAGAAAAAGCTTTTCGGAAGTAAAGTTAATGGGGTCAGGCGCAACCCCTCAAAAGATCAGGCCGCCTGAGCTTTTGAGGGGTTGCGCCTGACTCCATTAACTTGCCTTCAATATTCAAAAATCGCCCCCTTTTTGATATGAGTATTGAGCGCAAAGCCTCTTCTTGCTACATTAAAAATTTGAAGCCAAACACTCCATCCCTGTGAAAATTATAGCTTTGAAAAGAGGACCATCTAAATCTAAAATTGCCGTCAAGTTGCGTGTGGGTGCAATCGCAAGTCGGGCCTACAGTGTTTAGAAAATAGAAACCTGCAGTGAAGGCTGGTCTTCTTCAAAATATAACACCCTAAGGACTTAGAGGTGAAGCAGAGGGTCGTTCAAGGGCTTTCACAGGGGGGGGGGGGTCGTTTTTGAAGGACTTGTGCCTGACCTCTTGCTCAACGCTGCGCGCTACCCGTACTGCATACCACCGTTTCAAGATTGATCCCTACCCTATCGAGATACGCTACGATAACGATACGTAGCGCCTTTAGTCTATTAAGAGGACTTTGTTTAGTAAAACTTGTGGCTATTTTGACTCTCTTTTCAGCTCCTCTCGCCTCCACAAAATATGAATGACTACTAATATTCACCCTTATGACATCGTTATAGAGAATGAGTATATCATAGTAAATTAGTATATAGAGCTTAGAACAGGTAGAGAGGTATACATGGGTAGGTATAAGAGGTTTTAGATGAAAGTAGTAAATAATGAGATTTACAACATGAAATACATGACATTGAGAATAACGGAGAGACTACTGAATTCAAACCATGAGCAAAGGCTTCAAATAATAACAGAGTAAACGCGGGTGGAGGGAGAGTGAGATCGATTTAAAAAATGTACAGTTGGGCCAGCCGAAGTAGGAGGCGGAAGTGCGAGGAGCCTCTCTGAAGGCAAATTACTTTCCTTTTAAACTCGCCTCAAAAACGAGCTGTGCGGGGCAACCAGTAGCGCAGTGCTGATATTTTGAGCTTTTCCTATATTTAACCGCTTTAGAAAGTCCCGGTCTCGAGATTCAAAAATATCTGACGGGGTCCAAATATGCAGCAATTGCGTGGTCGAACTTATGGCATCGCCGGCAAAATGGCACTGCACCGCAGTGAGTTTCGAAATGCGTGCTTATGCAGGATGTGCACAACGCGTCTTCGCAAAACTTTATGTATAGCATTCATTGAGAGGCATGATGGATTTGCAATTTCGGTTAGGTGCGTGGTTTTGCTGTAAAGCAACTATTGTTTAAGGCGGCGTCTGATGGTCATTGAGGTGGCCTCTTGGGGGCGGTTGTGGCTGATGGTTGCGGCGTTGAGTTTGTGAGAGGATGGCCCGGCTATAGAATGCATGCTTTGTGGGGCAGCGCTTAACGCTTTGGTGAGTGGTGTTAGTGGTGGATACAATATAGGATGGGCTAGATTGCATTTCGTAGACATAGTCTGGTATTGCTGATAAAGATGGGGATCGATCACACATCCATATAGTAGTGAGTCGGAGTCTCTTTTGATGGTTGGCTTGAGTGACCAGGTGAAAGTGGTAAAGAGAGTGTAATTACTGAAGGAGATGAGTCAGGAGATGAAGAATTAAATTGTCCGAAAGCGATGGAGCTAAATGGTGCGAGTGAATACATGCAAGGAGTCCCCTAATATTGATGTCCAGCTGTCCTCTGTTCTTCCCATAATGTGACTGGCCATCGAGATTTGTTTCAACGTATTTCGTTGGGTCACGAAGACGGGACATTCTTCTCATATCCGTACTGCGATGTCCGAAGGATATTGTTTGTGTGGGTCAGCAATGACTGTGCTCAAGCGCTCTGTGGGTTTTTTCGTAGACTTTCGACGTGGCTAACAGTGTTAGTTTAAGTCTCACATAAAGTATGTAATTTTGAAACTCCAGTTCTCCTTTTCCCAGATGTGGGCAATAGATGTTGCAAATTGGAGTAATGGATGTTTTGTCAAGCTTAGGTTAGCACTTTGAATTTTTATTGAAATGTTTCGACAGTTGTCTCTTCAAAGTGCTGAAAGATGACTGCAGTCTTGAAAACTATCATGTAAATTCTCCTCCATCTTATATATAAAGCTGAATGTCTGTTTGTCTGTAAGTATGTCTGTCTGTATGTATGTCTGTCTGTCTGTACGTATGTTCCGAATAGAAAATTCCATTTCTGAACCGATCCGGACCAAACTTGGCACACATACACTTCGG